CTTTCTTTTCAGGCTTTTCGCTTCTGTACACTTTAATCGATTAAAATTCCTAATTTAATCGATTAATTCTCTCTGGTACAGAACATCAGCTTTCTTCAACGGCTTTATTCTTCTCAGCCTATTTAATCTCTCATTCTCCTTCATTTCAACACACCTCTTGCACTCCAACATATTTCCCTGAGCTATTCATACTTTGCTTCATCTTCCTCATCAAAATATTATTTTTGAGAGTTAGAAATATTTTTTCTTTGAGTGCTATAGAAGTTGTCATCCATAGAGCTTAAATCTTTCAACACTACTTTGCTCAATTGTGTGAGCTTTCATTCTTGTGTTGTAAACTCAATCTCATTTGAGTGTTGTTCTTAAGACTTGTGTGACTCAAGTCTTGTTGTTGTAAGAAAGTGAGGCTTGTGTGATTCAAGTTCTCAAGTTGTACCGGTTTTTCAAGCACCCGTTGAAGCTTGAAGATTAGTAGGACTTTCGAGAGAGTCTCTCGGAGGACTGGACTAGCCACGAGGTGGTGAACCAGTATAAATCCCGGTGTTCTTCTTTCCCTTACTCTCCTTACTTTTTCCTGCGATAATTTTTACGAAAAACGTACATTCTTAAAAACAACTCTATTCACCCCCCCTCTAGAGTTGCACTTTTGTCTAACAAAAACACTCAAACCAACATTAGCTCTATATTGTTTGTTAACATCATAACACGAGATTTAGCAAACCAAGACTAACAAATACACGGTGCTACTCTATAGTACACTTCTCAAATTCATCCATGTATGTACTTTGAGAAGTGAGGGACTACACTCATACTAGGCCAAGGTAGAATTTTTCAATTCTGGTCACGCTGGCCAAGACGGAAAACTTGAAACTTTCACCTAACAGAAAGAGTAGTATCGAAGGCAACGAAGCAAGGGGCTCCCCATCCTCAGACAAACTACTTCCGCACGACCTCGCTACGTTCGGCCTCAGAAGTGGGGGACTCATGATGGACACCCTGGACATCGGGGTATCGGTCCAGCCATAACTCGAAGCCCAACATTAAGACCCAATGGGCAGGCCCATGTCAAGTGGCCATATAGTCGACCTCAGCCAGTCCGGATTTAAGACGTAGAGCAATAACACATCAACCAAGCACTAAGGGACTTCACGGAAGACAACTCACTCGGCCTCAGAAGAGACATGACCTTGGCCTCGTCCCCTTTTTCCACAGGCGACAATTTCGACAAAACATCACTAGCCTCGGTAGCGGTCACTCGGCCTCGTTTAGATTTAAGCATTTCTACTAATCGAAGAACCTGCACAACAGGATCCACCGCCAGTTGGATTTACCTCTTTTGGCAATATATGTTTGTGTTAAACGAGATATATGTTACATATTATTAATTATGGCAAGCACAAATTTGTGGTGACCTTGGTTTGTGATAACGCATGGCCCAGAATAATTGCATGCACATTTGGCGGCACGCTTCAAGGGATTTATATGGCCAATATTTGTTTTCCTATTTTATAGCCAATTCGTATATGGTAGAGTTGTGAACTCACTGGATTTCTTGTATTAGCTAGACATGTATATATATGTTGTACGATACGATCAAAAGCAATAACAGAAAATACATTTTCCATATTGGAGCTTTTCATGGTATCAGAGCCTATGGGCCTTTTTTTGGTATCACCACAAAATTATTTTCATGGTATCACCACAAAATTATTCGAGTATCAATAAAGCTACAGAATTATTTCAAGTGATTCACATTGATGTCTAGGGTCCGTATAGGACACCAAGTTTGGATGGCTTTACCTCATTTTTTACTATAGTGGATGATTTTTCTCGTGGTACTTGGGTCTATTTATTGCGGACAAAATCTGAAGTGCCATCCGTTTTTCGTCAATTTTGTACTTTAATTGATCGACAGTTTCATAAAAAGATAAAGACAGTCCGAAGTGATAATGGAACTGAGTTTGAATGTCTCAATTCTTTCTTTCATGAGCAGGGTATATTACATGAGACGTCGTGTCGTGGGACACCACAACAAAATGGTTGGGTTGAGCGTAAGCATCACCATATTTAAAATGTTGCGCGCGCCCTACATTTTCAAGCTTTTCTACCAATCGAATTTTGGGGAGAGTGCATACTTGCCGCCGCATATCTTATCAATCGGACTCTCTCCACGGTATTGAAGAGCAAGACCCCGTACGAACTCATGTTTGGTTGTCCACCGTCGTTGAACGTCATTCGCACTTTTGGTTGCTTGTGCTACGTTCATAATCAAGATCGTCACGGAGATAAGTTTGAGACTCGTAACGTGCCGGGTGTATTTTTGGTCTATCCATACGGGAAGAAAGGGTGGCGTATCTACTGCCGGGATACCGGAAAATTTATTACTTCTCGTGATGTCATTTTTCATGAAAATGTCTTTCCATTTCAGGAAATAACTTCTCTTGGTACGGATAATTCACTGGACACCTTGCAGCTCAACTATTTAGATGATGAAGATGATCACCGCATTCCAGCAAGGGGGCTCTTGCTCCAGCCAGTGTTCCCCGCTCCAATGCACAGGGGACGACTGCTATTTCGGCGCACACAGATGCATTATCTTCCACTGCCGAAGTCCCGCTGCTAGAACCGTCCACTGTCGCAGTT